CTAAAGCAAAATAAAATGAATTTACATAAGTCTTTGGACATTGCTAAAGTACAAATACTTAATTTAATGATAATTAAACAAATAAAACGCAAAACAGTAACCATGAGGAGAAACTACAGCAAGAAAACACAACAACAAAAAGTAAAATCAGTAATACGAACATATTAATATTGTTACGCCTCTAGTCGTTAGTTAATTTTCCGTAAATTCTTTCCGACTAAACTTTAGCGACACAACTCCTTTCTTAAATAAAACTGGTTTACTCTTTCCGAATACAACTTTACGATACACTTAATTTCAACAGTCGCGCTATAATTCTCAACGAACGTCTCAAGTGCTTGAGTTCAATTACACACTCTCTAACTGCAGCTCAATTACTCACTACTTCTCCATCGCTTCGTGGCCGGTCTTATATATATATATATACAAGACTATACTATGTCTAGAAAGATCACGAGATTTAAGGAAAAGACGTGACGTGGCGTGATACTAGTCACGTGACCTCGATGTCGTAACAATATGTATAATTTAAATGAAGACTGCACGTTGTTCGGTGTCGTAATCTTGTTTTTTATCAAACTTAGACTTCCTTCGAACACATCGATTGCTAATGACATAGCATTATAGAACAACAAGGCACATTTGGTTCATCTAGGCCGTCCCATCCACTAAATCAGACTAAGCAATAAAAATCAAAGCCAGCTATTATCATTCAACTAGTTATCAAGTTTTCCCTTAAACTAACTTAAATTAACTGCATCTACAACATCTGAAGGCAACTCGTTCCAAAGACCAACCACCCTGTTAGAATAATATAGCTGTCTTAACTGAAGATGATTCTTACTCTGCCAAAATTTATACTTCTGTTCCCTAGTTTAACATTCACACCATTAAATATGAAATAAAGATAATCATCAACACTATCGATTTCTTAAACAATCTTAAATACCTCAATCAAATTCCCTATAACTCTTCTTTTTAAAACAGGATCAGATGTTTTAACCTATCCCCTTATGATAGCATTTCTATCTCAGGTTTCACCCTAGTAGCCCTCCTCTGAACCCTTTCCAACAATTCAATATCCTTTCTGAGGTAAGCAGCCCAAGACTGAACACAGTGCTCCAAATTTGGCCTAACCAATAATCT